CTGAATTACTACTGTTGTTGCACAAACACACACACACACACACCCCCGCACGCACAGTCCTCTCCCAATCGTGCTTAAGGCAAAAGAATTGGTAGAAACTGGTGTGGAGCTGTATCCTTTGCTGAACTGGAGGGACCTTCAGGCACCTGGTCTTTAAGGTGAAAAGAACGAGGGTGGGTGGTGAGAAGAGCGAGGACGAGGCACTTAGGCTCTTCAGAGAAAGGCACAACAATTGATACTTCTGGTTGGGGAGACCTTTAAACTTAGTACCTTTCTCTTTTATGATCATCTTCAAAGACAGGGCTTCGCAATTACGAGAACCCAGTGGGATCAACGCTTACCCGACCCAACCTCGATCGTGCTGAAGAGAGCGCTGTGACCCGTGGCACCCCCGTTCTGAGCCTAACTGAGCACTGAAGTGGCATTAACCTTTACACGGCAAGCTCACATTTCCCCACTCTCCATTCCCTTCTCTTTCCTCTTTTTTCTGGGTCACACACCTTTCAAAGACCTTCCCACGTTGCTGCATGCAAATAGGAATGCTGTCCTCATCTGCAGTGGGCCAAATGATGACCCTTAAAGATGTCAGGTCCTGATCCCTGATCTGTAATGTTACCTTATATGGAAAAGGTCTTTGCAAACGTGATTTAGTCAAAGATCTTCAGATGGAGAGAGTAGCTTGGATTATCCAGGTGGGCCCTAAATGCTCTCCCCAGTGTCCTTGTAGAGAGAGAGATTTGACAGAAGAGAGGCCGTGGGACCGCAGAGGCAGAGATGTGAGTGATGCAGACGCAGCCAGGAATGCAGCAGCCGCCAAGCTGCAAGGGCAAGGATGGATTTTCTCTGCATCCTCCAGAGGAAGCATGGCCCTGCTGACACCTTGATTTTAGCCCAGTAACACCAATTCTAGACTTCTGACCTCCAGAACTGTGAAATAATAAATTTCTGTTGTTTTAAGCCACCAAGTTTGTGGTAATTTGTTACAGCAGCCATAGGAAACGAATACGAATTTTTTTAAAGAGACAACCACCCAACCCACAGGTTGGGTGAATTTGGACATCCAGACACACGTTCAAAATGAAATGATGGTTAAGAGAATCACAGCTGATTAAAACCTCCCACTTCCAAACATGCAGAGGCTTATGTTTTAAACTCCATGTAGACTTCTCTACCTCAACTGATGAAAGGGCAGTATTTGGCACAAGAAATGCCAAGTTATAGCATCACTAACACCACAGCATTGGATACCACTGTACCAGTTTCTGAGCCATGGGAGCAGATGGCCCAGGACACATCCCTAACAGGCCCCAAGCTCTGGGAATACACAGGCTATCGGGCATGGTCTCGTACCAAAGGAGCACACACGCTACTGGAGAGATTGGCTTTCAAGCCGCCGGGCATAGACAGAACAGACGTGACAGCGGAGTGGCCGAAGTGCACAGGGAGGCAGCCTTGCTCTGACACTGGAAAGGGAAATCAGACTGAATAGGAAAAGGGCATCCCAGGTGCGGACGGCCAGAGGGAGAGCCAGAGGGTGATCCGTGGCGGGAGGCAGGCAGAGAGCATGCCAGGCCTCCCCAGCGCTGAGGCTGCAGATACCCGGGGATCCCACGGAGGGAGGGAACTTGGCAGCAGAGCAAGTTAATCTGATCTGCACTCAGAAAGATGAATTTGGCTGAAAACAGATTGGACCGGGAAGAGGAGGAAGCAAAACTGAAGCAGGAATTTGGTTGAGAGGCCACAGGTTGGACAGAGATGCTGGAGCCAGGAACAGCAGAAGCAGGGCTGGCGAAGGCGGATTTACGGGGCTTTTAAGAGGCAGATTGATTGGACTTAGGGAGGGACGAGTGCGGAAATTGACAGGGAAATAGCCATCAAATTCCTGGCTTGGCTAACAAGGCAGATGGCCCTTTAATCAGCCAGGACAGGGACAAGGAAGGAAGCATAAGTTTAAGGAAGACAGAAAGCCGATAGAAAGTTCAGCTGTGAGCTTGCTGAGTGCATAGCTCTTATCTGGAGGAGGATGTCCAACAAGAAGGCGGCTCTTTCAATGGTGTATAAATATTTGTGTACATGGTGCTAGAGATCCTGTTAGGGACGCTTCAGTGTGTAGATAACACTCAATAAAAATATGCTAAGCTCCTCCTGTAGCTCCTCCCCCAGGCACTGCACTGGGCATCAGGCAGGCAGAGTGAACAAGCAGCCTCCTGGGGGCATGAGAGGGTACAGGCAAACCCAACAGCACCTACACAAGTGGTATCAACAAAACACATACGAGGTGCCATGGGAACACAGAGGTGAAGCACCAAACCCAGAATGAGGCTGAGAGATGCCAGTCAGGGGTGGGGGTGGGGGGGTGATAAAATCCTGGGGGAAGTAACACCAGTTAACAAGATGAAATTACCAAGTTAAAACAGGCAGAGGGGGAGTAATAGCTCAGGTAAAGGGCAACACACTTGAAGCCCAGAGGCAAGAGGCAGAGCCAGACTTGTTTAGAGAAGGTGTGTGTCTGCGTTGGTAGACGGAGACCTGGGGGGCCGAGTCATCAGGCTCTTCCAGGTTGGAGTATGAACTTTATTCTAAGAGGAATGGACAGTCATTAAAAACTTAAGCAACGAGTGGCATGATACCTTTTGCTTTTTAAAAAGATCCCTTTGGGCCGGGTGCGGTGGCTCACGCCTGTAATCTTAGCACTCTGGGAGGCCGAGGCGGGCGGATTGTTTGAGCTCAGGAGTTCGAGACCAACCTGAGTAAGAGTGACACCCCATCTCTACTAAAAATAGAAAGAAATTATCTGGACAACTAAAAATATATAGAAAAATTAGCCAGGCATGGTGGTGCATGCCTGTAGTCCCAGCTACTCGGGAGGCTGAGGCAGGAGGATCGCTTGAGCCCAAGAGTTTGAGGTTGCTGTGAGCTAAGATGACGCCACGGCACTCTAGCCCGGGCAACACAGTGAGACTCTGTCTCAAAAAAAAAAAAAAAAAAAAAAAATCACTTTGGCTGCAATGTGAGCATGGATTATAACAGAAAAACCTGGAGGTTACAGGAGCAGTTAGGAAGCCATTCAAGACAGGAAGAAGTGGCTACATTATCAGAGAAACATTCAGGAGACAGGACAAACAGGACTTGGGAACAAGCCAAATGCATAGGAGCGGAGGATGGTGCCCAAGTTCCTGGCTCAGGCAACTGGGCAAAAGTCCCAGGGATGGCTGAGACTGCACAGGGGGAGGGTGACAAGAGAGCCAAGGTCAGAACCCTCAGGAAACACAGTGTGAGCACAGGCAGGGGCAGAGGAGCCAACGCAGGAAGCTGAGAGGGAGCTGTCAGGTAAGAGGTGGAGGTTCAGGGAATGAGGCGGAACTGAAGCAATCACTGTTGAAGAAATTGGTAGTGTCACAAATCAAAGAGGTCACCTGAAAGACTGAAAGGTTTCTGCTGGATTTGGCAACTGGGTCAGTTTCAGTGAAATGGTGAGGGCTAACCCTGATAACACGGTTCAAAGCGGAGATGCCAACGTGTATGCTCCTGAGGAAGCCTGGGAAAAACCCAGGTAATCACGGAGCCAGAAAGGGATGTGCGGTGAAGGAAGACTGCTTTCCGCACAGGGTAGAGTGAAGTCAGAGCCAGGAAACCTGGGTTCCAGCCAAGGCTCTTGCTATGCAACTCCCACTGGTGTTCTCGGCTGTAAAATAGGGGTAGCAGCACATGCTCACCCAGGCCAATCACAGGGCACCCTGAAACTGAAGGCCCTTGGAAGGACTATGATCACTGTTGCCTTCCACCTTCTTTTAAGTACAAAGCCACTTTGTGCTTTACCACCATACAGATCGAAACATAAAGACATTCTTTCAAAGTTTTCACATAGCTGTAGGAGAAAATTTTTAGGTGCAAGATTCTTTAAGACTGAGTCCTCTTCAACTAAGTCAAACTAAAACAACTGACACTAGACTGTCAATTTGGGAACAAGTTTTTAGTTATCAATCCAATGCAAGACTAATTCTTCCACCTAGTCCCCAAACCCGTTTCATATTTTACCTCAGGTCATGCGCATAAATTCAATTTTCAAAAATTCAACTTATTTGAAAATTAACAATTAACACTTGAAAAATATCAAAGCTGATTTAAAATGCAGGATTTTTAAATGTCTGTTCTAGAATTGTCACTTTAGAAGGCCATCTCCTTCTGATCGGTTTGTTCTAGGCTTTGGAGAACACATCAAGATGTTCTGTTTAGCTTGTCTAAACTAGAGAATCTTTGTTTAGAGTTGGAATTTACAGTGTGGCATTTCTGTTATCTATTTTTCTGGTTTTGATGGAAAGTGAAGCGAGTTTTCTCACTGTTTTCCTTACAATGGGAGTTGAATACTCAAGCAAGGAACCTGGGAAAGCCTGAGACACCGATGAGAACCGGTGCTGTGCAAAGTCAGCTCCCCGGGCCGCCGGCAAACCACGCGGTGTCCGGAGGTGCGCCGGCCCGTTCGCCCGTCCTCGCGGGCAGGTCGGGTCGGAGGGAAGAAATGGAAACTCCCCAGCGCGACTCCCGCCGCCGCGCATCCTGCGGACGTCCCACGCAGGCCCCCGCGGCCCGCGCCCCGCCCTGCCTCGCCGCCGCCGGGGTCCCGACCCCGAGCCGGCCCCGCGGGGTCTGCGGCGCGCCACGCCCACCCGCCGCGGGGCCGAGGCTCGGGGCGGGACCGCGGGGCGGCTGCGGCGACCACCGGCAGAGCCCGGGCCCCGCCAAGCGGCAGAGCCCCCTGGGGACCGATGCGCCCCCTAATGCGGCGCGGTCCCCCTCGCCCGGACGCTCAGCCCCCAACCCAGCCGTCTCCCTCAGGGCAGCCTCCCTCGGAGCGGCCGCGGGCGCCCCTCAAGGACCCAGGCGCCAGCCGCCCGGCGTGGCTCCCGGCAGCCCGCCCTCCCCGGCCCCCGCACCTCCCTCGCCCCGCCCCCCAAGCCCGGCGACCAATCGGAGCGTCGTGCACGTGACGAGCGCTGCCTGCGATGACCTCATCCCTGGTGTGGGATGACGTCAAATTCAAGATGGATGGAATCACAGCGGCAGCGGCCGCTGCGGCGTGCGCGAGCCGAGTGTGAGCGGAAAGGGGCCCAGCGTCTGCCTCGGGGCTGAAGACCGGTGAGTAACTGTCACGGCCCTGGCCCTAGGAGAACTGCGGGGCCCTGTTGGAAACCACAGCCTCCCCGCAAATCGTGGCCTTTCCTGACGTAACTCTGAGGTGATTTCTCTCCTCTTTTTTCTTTCCACCAGCCGGTTGCGGGCTCCGCGCGCTACTGCGCTTGCGCCGGGCCTTGTCTCTCACCGAGCATGCCCCGGGCTCCCACGTAGCCGATTGTGCCTTCACACTGCGCATGTCCCATGCCCGCACTCGGCCTCGCCCTCGTCACTGCGCATGCTCCGTTCCCTCACTGGCTCCACTCCGCGCCCCGGCCGGGCTGCCCCCGGGGTAGCGGACGCGCCTGCCCGGGCGCGCGCCCCTCGCGCGGAGCGGTTGGAGCGCCGGCGTTGCAGGCGCGCCTCCGCCCCGGGCAGGTGTGGGGCCGGCGGCTGGCTGCCGGCTCGGGCCGGGAGGGCGCGGGAGCCGGGGGCGGCCGTGCGGGTCCCGCACCTGCTGCGGCGGGTCGCCCCTCTGCGGCCTTCGGCCCCGCGCCCGGATCGTGGGCGCCCGGGCCCTGTCTGGTCTCCCCCGCCCCCGGCCGCCTCCCCGCCCGCCCCTCCCGCGGCGTCGGGACCTCGCGGCGCGTCAGTGCCCCGCGGAGCCGGGGAAGACCTTGCCCCTGACTCGGCGCCGCCGGCCCGCAGCAGCCTGCGCCGGCCGGGAGCTGTGCTCGGCCGTTGCCGGTGTCCCCACTCGAGAAGGACCCCGCCTGCGTCCGGGTCTGCGGCCGAGCCGTCGGACGGGGAGCGGTCCCCGCGCAGCCCGTCGCGCCGGCCTTAGAGACGCCGGCTGCGGCCCCTCGTGATCCTTTGGTGGCTTTTCTGGAACACGTTCAGTAGTCCCTCCGCAAACGATCTCCCTTTTAATCATGGGACAGCCCCGCGGCGCTGGCACCGGGCCCGCGGTTACCAGGAGGGCGGGGTGGTTCGGGAGAACGCCACCGGAGCAGCACCTTTGGAGGCGGGGTGTTTTTAGACAGGTATCCCAGTGGCGTTGCCTGACGGTGGGAGCTGAGGGGCACGTTAATCAGACTTCGCACAGCCTGGGATCTTTTTTCAGTGCAAGAGCTAACAGCTCTGTTCACCTGGCGTCTGAGGGCTTGTGTGTGTTACTGTACAGTCCGGTGACTGTTCGTGCTGGTGACCCTGAGTCATCAGTTAAGGAGCTTACGTTATGGTCTTCATACCTTGTTTAAGAAGACAAAGTGGGTTAATCCATTTTAGAAAGAGTTCTCATTGAAAATTATTTTTTAAACCTTACCCTCTGGTGCTTGGAGAAGTAAATCTTTCATCCATCTCTAATGACTAATAGTCCTTTAAATTTAAGCACCCCTAAATATTGGTGTTAAAAAAGTAGAAGTTTGAGGCATTGGTCTACTTAAAAGTAACTTTTTAATTCATTCTTTCTTTTTAACACTATTGAAAGTATAGTGTACTTCATTCTGCAGAAATGAAGTTGAAGAAGATAAAACGCCTGCCCCTGAGGAACTGACAGTGTTATATAGCAGGGAATTTTGGATGTGTACGTTGGTAAAGAAAAATTACAATAACAAAAGAGAGGTTAAGTTATTAAGGACGTCTCTGGATGGGAAGGAGATAATTGAAGGGACCGTTTTAGTTGTCCCCAAAGCCAGTGGGAATGGGGAGAACAAATTCTAGAGCTAGGCTTGACAGGTCACTGATTGGCTGTTAAGGAAAGATAAGAGGTTTCTGGTTTAGGAGACCTAGTGGCTGGCAGCACACCAAACTAGGGAATGTGTGAGGACAAGGGGGTAGGGATGAGAGGGTGTGGATCCTAAGTGCCGTGCCAGCCAGGTGGGATGTCCTGTGATGGAACTGTTCTGCAGGCACCTGAGAGCCTGGAGTCTCAAGAAATCTAAGCAGAGATACAGATTTGGGAGTCATCATCCAGTAGCGATTAAAGCCACAAGTTATCATAGAAAAAGCAAAGAGAACTGCCACGTGTTGGGCTTTGTAACAGATGCTGGAGAAATAAAGGTGAGCAAGTCCAGGTCCTAAACCTGAAGTTGGATGATTTCTCTCTTTGCCCAGTAGATTCCTGCCAAGCCTTGTGCTTGGCATTAGGGATACACCGATAAAAACGAGGGCTTTTCCTTTCAGAGGGTCTCATGAGGGAGATATAAAAGCAGATCAGTTGAAATAGTTGTGGCTGCATTACAGAGAGATGAAATGGTGTAGTAGCTTAGATGACGGAGCTGCTGCCTAGGGGCGTATTGCAAAAGATTTGTAGATGCAGTGACATTTCAACTGGATCTTTCTACAGAAGTTAGCCAAGTAAAGGAGAAATAAGAAAGATATTTTAGGTGGCAGAAACTGGATATCCAGGTTGTAGGGTAGGTGGTAAGGACTGTCCAATAAAGATGGAGAGATGAGTTGTAACCAGACTGTGAGGTTTTGTGTGCCAGTCTACAGTTCGGATTTTCTTTAGGAAGTAATGGAAAAATTGATAGAGTATTCTAAAGCAGGGTGGTGATGTAATCAGCTTTACTTTAGAAAAACAAAGTGCATAATTTTCACACCTGCATTTAATTGGAGTGCAGAGTACAGAGAAATCAACAGATATTTATTGCTGTGCAAGATGCCACGTTAGACAGTGTGAAGAGTGCCAAAAGATATTGAATAGATACCAGTCCTTAAATAGCTTACAGTCCTGTTGGGGAGACACAGATGACCCGACAATATAAGGCAATGAATAAACACTACATAAATGGTGTTGGCTCTGCATAATACAGGAATTGAAAGGAGGTGTTTGCTCCTTAACTGAAGTAGTCAAGGAAGGTATATTAGTTTGCTTTGGTTGCTATAACTAAGCACAACAGACTGGGTGGCTTAAATGACAGAAGTTTCTTTTCTCACAGTTCTAGAGGCTAGAAATCCAAGATCAAGGTGTCAGCAGGATTGGTTTATTCTGAGGCCTCTCCTTGGCTTGTAGATGGCTGTCTTCTTGTCTTCTTCACATGGTCCTTCCTCTGAGTGTGTCTTTGTCTTAATCTTCCTTTTCTCATAAGGACACCAGTTATATTGGATTAGGGCCCACCCCAAAGACTTCATTTTAACTTAATTACCTCTTTAGAGACCTTATCTCCAAATAGATTATATTCTGAGGTGCTGGAGGTTAGGACTTTGACATATAAATGTGGGAGGGATGAGAGGAGAAACAATTCAGCCCATAACAGAAGGTTTCTTGGAGGAGTTGGAACTTGAGCTGAGCTTTGAAAGGTGGTTAATGTTCATATGAGTGGGGTGCTGGGGAACTCTGGAGTTAGATGAGATCTAGGACATTCCAGATAGGGTAATGGAAGAAGTAAGATGTGCAGGTTGTGTCTCAGAAGCAAAGTGTCTGAAGCAGGGAGTTATCACAAGGCGATAACTAAGGGAAAGAAGATTTAAAACATTCTTAGAAATCAGATTTTATAGAGCCTTGGAGTTCATGTTTTCAAAATTTTGCATTTAAGCCTAATGGAGAACCACTGCATTTGTTATTTTGTTTTTTAACAGGATCAAGGTTGGCTCTTTTCATTCAGGTCTTAGATTTCAACTGAACTGTTTCATCAAGGCATTTTCTGACCATCCTCTCTGAGTACTGTACCCAGCCGTAGCACCCTGTTTATTTCCATCATAGCACTTAGCACAATCTAAAGTTATCTTTTTAATTTGTTTGTTTCCTTGTTTATCATCTGATTTCCCTCAGTAGAAAGTGGGGGCCTTGTCTGTTTGGAGATATGAAATATCTCATATTTCAGAAAAATCTAACCATGCCTTTTATGTAATATATGTTTAATAAATAACTTGAGTTAGTGACACTTAATGCTAAGTATTAGCATTATGTTGGATGAGTGACAAAGCTTTGTTTTAGGAAGCTCAGTCTAGCAGTAGTATTTTACAGGATGGGTTTGGAAGGCATGACAGGAAGAGTGAGTATCACATGGAAGCATATTGGGCTTCTTTAATAAGAACAGAAACTGACAGGCTTGAATAGAAAAAGGAATTTATTGTAAAGATACAGGGTTGGTAAAGTTTATGGACTTTAAGGGAAAGCTAAAGAAAATTGGGCCAGAAGGACAAAAACCAAGCTAACTCCAGGCATCTATGTAGCAGGCACCAGCAGGTTGCATTTTCAGGCCTCTGCTGAGATAAATCAGCTCCATTCATTTACTGCCTTTGTTGTTATTCTCAGGACCCATATTCCAGGGACAAGGTTTCTGATTGACTTGGCTTTGGTTGTGTGCCTACCCCAGAGCTGGGGGAGAGCAGCACATCAGACTGTACTTGGTGGGACAAGGTAGAATCTTCCAAGGCAAAATCACAGAACTGTTACCAGGTGTAGGAATGCTGCTGGGAGGCCAGAACAGAACAGCAGAGGCTGTGACCAGACTACTCTGCTAAGGTGCCTGTTAAGAGCCCAAACTATGTTATAGTGGAGTCATTCCGCTGGGTATGACAGAGAACTCATGGTTAAACCAAAATTAAGCGCTCTCTCTCTCTCTGACTCTCTGAAAGACAAACACTGAAAATGTGAGGAGATGGAATACAAGGTAGTAACATGACTCCTCTTGAGGGATCGGATAAGCTAGTCTGGCTTTGAAATCTGAGGAGGTTTAGATAATTTCTGGGTATCTGCATTGTCACCAAGTGAGTGATGATAAGACTGAAACCCAGAGCCAACTTCCTATCATCATCTAATGGTAAAATCAAATGGAGATACGGATGTGGGGATGAGCTCTGGGTGCCTTTGTGTGTGTGTGTTTATATTCCAAAGCCAAATGTAGATGCTTTGGATTTTTAACTAGGTGTTTGCCTTGTGTTACGTGCATTCCCTATTTTTTTTTTTTTACCAGTATCATGGTTAGGACTATATAACAATCTCCAACATTCCAAAGGACCAGTGTTCCCAGAGTTCAGTTTTAGGTTAATATTTTGGACGTAAGGAGACATTTTCC